TTAATTATAACCTTTTTTTAGTCAAAGAAAAAGAAACATTTAAAACCTGATGAATGTACTTGAGAAGTATCATAAAGAAAAATAATCTCATATTTAATTTTGTCAGGATGAAAGTCTTAGTGCAATCTTATGCAATTGTACTTCTCAAGAACATTCAGCAGGTTTTAATGATGTTTTTTATGCACTGGGAAACTCGTAACCTAGATAACAGATTACTTGGATTACTATAGGTGGTTCCAAAGGAGCCTGTCCCATTTGCATCCACATTTCAGGATGTATGCGTCTCAGAAAAAGACCAGAATCAAATGTATCTCAGGTTTACTCTACAAGGACGTCTGCTGACCAGATATCCCCACAGCACACTGGTTAGGAAGGTGCTACATAACGGCAGGCTCATATTTGTATGGTGGCACACATTAGCTTCAGTCTGACTGTATGATGTGGCTTCTGTCCCCAGCTGGAAGAGAGTGAGGATGAGGAGGACGAGTTACAGGAGGTTTGTTATTGAGATCATCCATGCTGGATTCATGGTTGTGTTTCATCCGTTATTGTCCTTTTAATCCAACAATTTCCCATAAGCGCCCCGTTCCAGCCCACAGACACGCCGCTGTCCCAGTGATCAGCCGTGTCTGAACTGTGTGTGAACTCCTATCCGTGCCTCAGCCCCTTGAACACAGGCTCACTGTGACCTTCATCTCATGTTTGTGTTTTATCTGGGAATTTATTACATTCAGGAGAAAACTTCACTTCATGCCCTCCACAAATCTCCAACCCGTAACAGACAGTCAGTGTAGACTAAATTTCAAATCAATAAAGGGTGAAAAAATTATAGCCAGGGTTATACTGTATAGTAGCTTTTATGTAATGTACACTACTGTTCAAATGTTTGGGTCGCTAAGATACCACAAAATATGAATCAGCACAGCATTGATAATAATAAGAAATGTTTCTTAAGCATCAAATCAGTATATTAGAATGGTTTCTGAAGGATCACTGTTACACTGAAGACTGGAGTAATGATGCTGAAAATTCAGCTTTGCATCATAGGAATAAATTACTTTTTAACATATAACACAATTTAAAAAATATATATATATTTTTTTTTTTAAAGAATAATATCTTTATGCAGCAAAGATGCATTAAATTAATCAAGTGACAGTAAAGACATCAATACGTTACAAAAGATTTCAAATAAATGTTGTTCTTTTGAACTTTCTATGAATCCAAAAAATCCTGAGGAAAATAGCATTATGGTTACCACAAAATATGAATCAGCACAGCATTGATAATAATAAGAAATGTTTCTTAAGCATCAAATCAGTATATTAGAATGGTTTCTGAAGGATCACTGTTACACTGAAGACTGGAGTAATGATGCTGAAAATTCAGCTTTGCATCATAGGAATAAATTACTTTTTAACATATAACACAATTTAAAATATATATATATATATAGTATTTAAATTGTAATAATATTTGACAAAATTTATGTTTTACTTTTTGTTTTTTTATCAAATAAATGCATTGGAGAATAAAAGGCTTCTTTCTAAAACATGTTTGGTTTAAAAGCGCTAGTTTATATTACAGTTTTTTTATATATATATATATACACGGTAAAATCACAATAATAGTTCATCCCAAAACTTTGTATGTATTTATTGTTTGAACGGTATTATTTTCCTAAATCTTGGAATATTGCAAACCTCATATAAAAATATAAAATAAACCAATGTTTAGGTTAACCTCATGAGGTGAACTAAACCATTTTCTCACTAGATGAGAAAATTCTATTCTATTCTGTACCCCGTTCATAGAAAGTGCCTTTTGGAATGTCATCTTTTCATTTTAATATTCACTCTTTTAACCATCACTCTAGTGTTGCCCCTGTACAGCAGTTTTACTGTACATTTATATTTGAGTGATTGACAAATAAAAACTGATTTTGATAGATTTTTTTTTTCCTCAACCCTGCCCATAGATGGACATCTCAGAGGACAAGGTGTGTATCGACTCCCTTGAGTCAGAGAGTGATTAATTTGTCCCTGAATTTAAACATAAATGTACTTTTTTGCATATGACACATTCAGATATTCGTCTTGTTTTGCACTTGGTACATAATTATACACCGTCTCATTATATCTATGAAAAGCCTGAGAAAGCAGACAGGGAGCAGAAGGTGAGACTCAGACTTGTTTCTCACTCCTGTGTTTTTCAACAAGTCATTTAATATCTGTTCAATCAATCCCTTTGATAGATCAAGGTTGTGTCTCAGCCTTCCTATTGGTCCAGAAATCAATACAAATAAAAATATCTATTTCATTGAAAGAATGAGAGATTGTTCATTAGCATGACCAAACGTTGAACATTTTGTGACTGGTTGATTGTGGTTGGTACTTTGGGCCAATAGGATGGTCGTATTCAAATGACCCTGACTTTTATTGCGTATGATTGGTCGAACATTAGGTCAGCAGTATTGCATCTGCAGTAAACACTACTAGATATTCTATACCACAAGTATTCTCTACTATATCAGAATAACTAAATCCATAGCTCCTCCCTCCCTCAATCCTGCTCATTAGTCTGGTTATTTTTATTGGGTTGTGACATGATTGTTGAAATGACTAAAAGTGAAACATCCCTTTCCTTTGCTCTTTCTGAAGGTGGCGGTCAGCAGGAAACAGGTGGGTTACGCAGCCTGTGCGGTTATACACTACATGTGTGTTTGAGAGCTCATAAACAGAGCACTTATACAGCAGTTCTCCTGCTGTATACTTCTCCTCTCACTGGGACTCTGTGAATTTTACAGGCTGTTTGGCCCCATCACTGTAAACCGTGGTATTTTTTCACCCCCTCTGAACTGTTATACCATCACATCGGTGTTATGAAGATGGTGTTTGTGCATCGGGTGACATGATGTTTATTGAAGTAATGTGACTTAATGTGATCAGAGCTGTTTGTGTGTGTCTCATTCTGCAGTTGGACACAGAGGCCAGTGACATCCTGAACGATCTCCAGGTCAAGCTGAACAACGTCTTGGACGAGCTGAGCAGCACCTTTGGAAACACGTCAGTGTTCATAGATCATATACATATGGGTTCATCACAGAAAAATGTACAAAACAACAAATTAAGAAATTATATTTTACATAAAGGAAATTAAGTAGTCTTTTCAGGAACATTTGTATTTTTACATTCTTTTCTGACATTTCTTTCATGAAAATTAAGCACATTTCCCCATTTCTTTAACATTTCTCCCAATACTGTAATAAAGTATTTGTATTGTGACAAAACATACTGAAATTAATAAGCATAATAAATATCAATACATTTACATATAATTATTATTAATTTTTATTATAATCAAGAGAATCAGAGAGGATGCTTAATTGACATGAAAACAAAAACAAACACGATTACGAAATCTAATCTAGTTAGACAAACAGGCTTTATTTTCTTCATACAAATTTCTTGACGGGTTTCATTAGACTCATCCACTTTTGCAATTAAGTTAAACATATGTAGGTCATCATTCTATACTGTAGCTTTGGTGCTCTTTAAATTAATGTAGGTTCTAGTCTGGCTGGCATCATATCTCAAGATCTCTGTGTTGCGTAAAGATCAAAATCTCCTAAATGAATCTACATTAATTTCACACTTTTGCACAACTCCTCTTATGTCAGTCTAGCATGTTTCTTCTCATCGCTGAACTCTGATGTTCCTCTGTAGCTTCCAGAGCCGCATTGATGACTGCATGCGTCAGATGGCCAGTCTGCTGTACCAGATCAGTAATTCGTTCCCTCATTTTACGTAAATAGTGTGCTCGATATAATAATTAGTTCCCTTGTTTTAAGTAACTTGTACACTCGATGTAATAATTTGTTCCCTCATTTTAAATAAATTGTGTGCTCGATATACTGTGTGCTTGTAAACAGCATATCCCATCAAACCTTTGGCCAGAATTTCTCTGTATTTCTGACACCACTTTTCTTGTAATTGTGGTTTTTATATGCAAAGTGTGACTTTATATCTCACATTCGCAACCTTATTTCTTATAATTGCAACTTTTGTTCTCTTAATAAACTTTTCTTCTTTTTTTAAATTAGTTAATTCTTATAATTGATTATTTTTTTAAATAATTTGTTCCCTCGTTTTAAGTAAATTGTGTGCTCGATATACTGTAATTCTTTCCCTCGTTTTAAGTAAATTGTGTGCTCGATATACTGTAATAATTAGTTCCCTCATTTTACGTAAATTGTGCTCTCGATATAATTCGTTCCCTTGTTTTAAGTAACTTGTACACTCGATGTAATAATTTGTTCCCTCATTTTAAGTAAATTGTGTGCTCGATATACTGTAATAATTCGTTCCCTCATTTTAAGTAAATTGTGTGCTCGATGTAATAATTCGTTCCCTCGTTTTAAGTAAATTGTGCGCAAAAAATTTACTATTTTAGGTAAATCATGTGCATGACAGGAAGTGTAACGAATTATTATTTTGTGCACAGGATTTACTTAAAGGGGTCATATGATGCTGCTAAAAAGAACAATATTTTGTGTATTTGGTGTAATGAAATGTGTTTATGCAGTTTAAAGTTAAAAAAACACATTATTTTCCACATACTGTACATTATTGTTTCTCCTCTATGCCCCGCCTTTTTGAAACGCGTCGATTTTTAAAAAATGAAATCGCATCATATGACCCCTTTAAAACGAGGGCACAAATGATTATTTCGTGAGCATGATTACTTAAAATGAGAGAACAAGTTAGTAAATGGTGCGCACAATTTATAATTTTTTTCCTTCATGACATGTTCAGAGCTCCGTAGTTTTTTTTTACTTTGAAATGGAAAAAAAGTTTCCATGGGTTTCTGATGTCAGAAATACAAATATATTAGCACCACTGCTTATAATTACAAATCGATTTATTCAGTCATCTATTCAGTGTTCAGATACTCCCGTGGCTAAACCAACTGATTTTGATTTATATTAGAGGTCATTTTATCTCTTGTATGGGTTTTTAATTTTATTTGGCTCTGTAGGATCACATGTCTGGTGAAGCTAAAAGCTTGACGCCCAAGCAGTGTGCGGTCATGGATGTGGCCCTTGATACCATAAAGGTATAAACTACATTTTCTTTAAAAGCAGCAATACATTTCCATGTTGTTTCATAGCAGTGGTGTGTAGACATCTAATATTTGATTATTTGCTATCCACTGCAGCAATACTTCCACGCTGGAGGAAACGGTCTGAAGAAGGCCTTCCTGGAGAAGAGTCCTGAACTGTCCTCGCTGAGACATGCACTGTCCCTCTATACCCAGACCACCGACACGCTTATCAAGACGTTTGTCACTACTCAGCATGCTCAAGGTGACACATCCACTCCCATTTACTCCTTATGTTGTACCGAACCTGTATGACTTTCTTCTGTGGAACATAAAAAGACCCCCCTCCCATATAATTTCTCATTTCCTATTCTAATTTCTTTAATTCATATTGTTTGATCTCCTAGAGATGAGTTTGTAAAACAATACACTAGGTGGCAGTATTGAGCTGTGGATTCATTTGTGTACTTTTTGTACTGAAACTTTCTCTTCTTCAAGCTTTATCTGTCTCTTACTCCTTGTGTCTACTGTCCATGTTTCTCTGCTGTTGTTTATGGTTCTCTGTCTTGTTTTTAACGCTTTGCTTTTGAACTTTGTCTCTTCCAATTCTTTTCTGCTTCTGTCTCTGCCTCAAGTGCATAATGGAAAGGGTATGAGGATAACACTTAGTGAGAAAATACAGCCGTCTAGGGGTAGGTCACCACAGACTCCCTGAGACCCAAGTACCCTCTCACGAATAATCACAGCCCCCTCTCCAGATCTGTTCTTAGATGTGTTTTGGTTTTTTGTCCTCTGATGTGGTGAATCTCACAATCACCATGTCATATTTAATCCCAAACTTAAAGAAATATTATTTTACATTAAGTAAATCAAGCCTATTTTAGGATCATTAAAGACCCCATGAAATTGCTTAATTCTTTTTTAAGGCAGGTTGTATTAGTGGTATTTTCATTCTAGAGAGCATTTGATGGGACAAAAATTTGGACATGTCCATAAGTGCAGAATGACTTGTCAAAATATCTGTTGTCCTGGAAAAAATTTCATCTAGATGACCGCAATGCTAACGTGGATTAAAAGCCACTAAACATTTCACATTTCTTCACCCAATGAGCTCTATTTAATCCAATTTAGGCTCTGTGTTCCCATCGTCATTGTCATTACTTCCTTTTTTTTCTGTAAATTTGGACACAAGCCCAGCTGGTACATCTTTCCTTAAGTTTTTCTTAAAAGCTCCACCATGCATGTGAGGCCTGTGTTTTACACTGTGTGTGTACCACATGTAAATATGTGTATCATATTTTGGGGACCGATTTGTACCCAAAAGTGAGCTAAACCTGTCCTCCTTTAGGGGACATTTAAGGACATTCTCATTTGTAACAACAAGATAAAAATAAAACCTTTTTTTTTATCATTGTTAGAATGCAGGATATTTTCTGTGAGGGTTAGGATTAGGTTGTAGTATTTATAACTAGCTCCGTATAAAAACAGCAGTAGTCTATGGAATTTCACCATTTTGATAACTAAGTAATATGTGTGTGTGTGTGTGTAGGCTCAGGAGTTGATAAACCAGTAGGGGAAGTATCCATACAGATCGACCTCTTCACTCACCCGGGCACAGGAGAGCATAAAGTTACAGTTAAAGGTAAGTCTAATTGTATTTTTGCCATGTTTAAGCAAGCTTTATCTGTCCCACAGGTGTTTTTTCTGATGGCTGAATTACATTTCTTTGTTTCTAGTTGTGGCTGCTAATGATCTGAAGTGGCAGACGTCTGGGATGTTCCGGCCATTTGTGGAGGTCACCATGATCGGCCCTCATCTCAGCGACAAGAAGCGCAAATTCACCACCAAATCAAAGAACAACAGCTGGGCGCCCAAATTCAACGAGACCTTCCATTTGTGAGTGCAAAACCTAGTCATTCACAACTAATGAGATTAATGAATAACAGTACATTAAACAATGATGTACGAGGAAACAAATAAGACTACAAAATGGACGCCCCTCTCTCTTTCACAATTTTTGAAAAAGAAAAAATTATCATTGTACAAATAATATTGCCAGAACACCAAAATAAAACATTTGAAGGCTAAAAAGGCGAAACAGATGACATGGATGGATGGATGAACAGAGACAGATGGGTGGATGGACAGATAGGCAGATTGATGGATGGACAGATAGATAGATGGGTGGATGGATAGATGGATGGATGAACAGATAGATGGTTGGATGGATTGATGAACAGATAGATGGTTGGATGGATTGATGAACAGATAGATGGGTGGATGGATGGATGAACAGATAGATGGATGGGTGGATGGATGGATGAACAAATAGGCAGATTGATGGACAGATAGATGGATGGACAGGTGGATGGATGGATGGACAGATAGATGGGTGGATGGATGAACAGATAGGCGATGGATGGACAGATAGATGGGTGGATGGATGGACAGATAGATGGATGGATGGATGAACAGATAGGCAGATGGATGGATGGACAGATAGATGGGTGGATGGATGAACAGATAGATGGATGGATGGATGAACAGATAGGCAGATGGATGGATGGACAGATAGATAGACAGGTGGATGGATGGATGAACAGATAGACGGATGGGTGGATGGATGGATGGATAGATGGACAGACAGATAGACGGATGGGTGGATGAACACATAGACAGATCTGTGAATGGAAGATGGATGGATGGATGAACAGATAAACGGATGGGTGGATGGAAGATGGATGGATGAACAGATAGAGGGATGGATGGATGGATGGACAGACAGATGAGTGGATGGATGGATGAACAGATAGATGGGTGGATGGATAAACAGATAGATGGGTGGATGAATAAATGGATGACCAGAGACAGGTGGGTGGGTGGTTGGATGGAGGAACAGATAGATGGGTGGACAGGTGGACGGATGGTTGGATGGATGAACAGATAGATGGGTGGAATGACATGAACGGATGGGTGAATAAATGGGTGGATGAACAGATACACAGATGGGTGTGTATTAAATGTGTATTAATTATTACAATTTTAAAAAGAAAACAATAAAACACTTGTATTATACACACTTGTATTCAAAACTTGAATTATAAATATTGAATTACTAAATATTTATTTGCCTATATTGGACATTTAATTGTTCATTTAAGTTTTTAGTCTTATTTTTTTCAGACTAAATTCTATATTTTTTTATGTAGATTGTAGTATTTTGTGTATGAGCAAGAATTTAAATATGCATTTATTACTGCATCTCTGCATTCAATAAGATTTTTAAAGAGCAAAGAGAGGATGACTACTAGTGAATCATTCTTGTACCTTCTCTCTCTGTGCAGTATTCTTGGGAACGAGGATGGGCCGGAGTGTTATGAGCTGCAGGTGTGTGTGAAGGACTACTGCTTCGGCCGTGCGGACCGTGTGGTCGGTATCGCCGTCATACAGCTGCGTGATGTCGCGCCGAGGGCCAGCTGCGCCTGCTGGTGTCCACTGGGCCCACGGATACACATCGATGACACGGGCCTCACCGTCATGCGCATCCTCTCCCAACGCTCGGGTGACGAGGTGGCCAAAGAGTTTGTGAAACTCAAGTCTGAGACACGCTCGGCCGAGGAGGGGAGGTGAGGTGAGGACATTCCTGCAGCAGAAGACTATCTCAGACTCTTAAGTGTTGGCTGGATGTCAACACTGTCACCTTTTTGTGTCCACACCAATGTTTTTGCTGCCCACTGACACCCACAGAGAAGGGCTTTCAGTGGCACGAGAGAGGCCATGTGACATGTTTTATAAAGAGCACTGTTAGTGTAGCAGTGGATGAGTGGGAGTCATCCAGAAGAAAAGACTGAACACAATATTTTTGTTTTTTCCATATATTGATATAAAAAACACACACACATCCAGCCACTAACAAACTAGCAAAGGACTAGTTAGGGTAGATACCAGTAGTGAGGGATAGACAAACAGTCCTGGGTTGTATTGTGCCAAAATGTAGTCTAATTTAGTTTTTTTTTGTCCATTGGATATTTTTTAGATAATGATGCATATGGGTGAATCTCATGAAAACATTTGGCTCAAAAATTAAATATACAATTAAATAAATATACAATATAATTAAATATTGCATTAAATATAATTAAAAGAAGAAATGATTACATTAAATGAATAAAATAAGAAATACAATATTACATTTATAATGAATTCTGTTTTTAAAAAAATTGTACATGTGGAATTATTTTCTTGACTATTAAGTTAATTTCCTTATGAAACTCTCATATTTATTTATTAATTGTTTACTAATAATTGCAATTGTGATTTTTTTTAAACAAGTAAATGTCATACAATAAATATGTATTTAATATGCAAGTACTGTGATTTTATATGAATATATGACACTTTGATATATTAAAAATAGAATTAAATAATATCATAAAAATAATTAATATAAAACAAATAAATGTATTTTACAATGGAAATAATCTTAAGTTATTAAAAATAGACTTTTTTTATTTTTTATTTTGGAGTTGAACTTTGACCCAGACATTTTTTAATGAAATGCATCCATTTCAATGTTTTGATAAATTTAATAATCATTGCAAAAAGTAAAACCAGACATGTCTATCCCTCACAAAAATGTTTGCAAGAAAAAAATGCTGTCAATCGCTGACTTGAGGTCCTTTGACATCCAACCAGTAGATGGCGCTGTAACTTCTTTTTTTTTTTAATTTTGGAGTTGAACTTTGACCCAGACATTTTTTAATGAAATGCATCCATTTCAATGTTTTGATAAATTTAATAATCATTGCGAAAAGTAAAACCAGACATGTCTATCCCTCACAAAAATGTTTGCAAGAAAAAAATGCTGTCAATCGCTGACTTGAGGTCCTTTGACATCCAACCAGTAGATGGCGCTGTGAGTGTGCTGGGTCATTATTTTGGTAGCGTCTGTTGTAGAATAGAGATTCCACATCCATTCATGCACTTTTTCTCTGTTAACACCCCTTTTGCCATGTGTTTATTGCCTTATTTTGTTGATGCTGTGAATGTGTCAAGTTGAAATGTAATGATTATGATTGTTATGAACGTTGTGGCTCCAGAGACGGTGTTTGTGTCCTAGGGGCCAGATCTCATTCACTTAGTGTTGTGGAGTCATCCGTTGCATGAATGAACCAGAATAAGTAATCCGAACGGACAACTTGGGGTGGGGGAGTTTGTAGAGAGATATCAAATACATTTCACTCCATTACCGAGTCAGCTCACAACGTGACGCATCCGTGAGCCGAAAGTGTGCCTTTCTTACAGGCTTTGTGACCGCTCAGATGATGGATGACCTGTTTGCACCTCAGCCCACTGATCTTCTGCCTCTTATGGTCACCATTCATTTCAAAAGCGAGCGGTACTTCAGCCATCCTCTATGACCAGTAGGTGGCAGCAATAATCTCGAGTTCACATTTACACCTGCTTCATCACCCACACCAAAAGACAATGCAGCATCATCGGACAGTATTGAAGCTAAAATGCGTGAATGCTTTAATGGAGTGTTGTGTAATATTTTTCAATACTTTGTCGTGGAAAGAAAGCGCTGAAAAAAATCAGCATCAGCTGGGGAGGGAAAATACGAACGTAAACAAATATCAGATCAAGCTTAAATGTGATCACAGATCAATAAATATAATGAGTAAAAAAAAATTTTCCGTTTCAAAGCGGCCTTATTTGTTCTGATATTTTCTGTTTAAATGATTTTAACTTTCCCTCTTAAGTAAAAATGAGTCCTTTTTTTCTGTGAAGTCTTGTTGTTACTCCGTTTCTTTGTTTTGAATGACTGACTTATTTTCTTTAGTTGTTCATTTAGAGGAATTTTATACTGTTGTGCTTTGTTTTTCCAGAAACGACTGCAAAAACAAAGAGGAAAAAGACAGTAACACTAGATTTGTCCCCTCGTTTGTTGCCTGTGCAGAAAGTCTCACCTTGTTAATCCAAATTTCAATGTAGTATTTTTCACAAAACACTGCCAATATGTAAATGTATGTTGATATTGCCAATCATTATTGTGACTGTTGAATCTGTTATTTATTTCTGTACATTTCTCACTTCTAACTCTGTGTCACTTTATATCCTGTTACCGTTGTTTAGGCCAGCAGTGTTTGGACTGTATTTTAGGAGGGAACTGTCACTCTTTGTTATCTACACATTCCTCGTGCCAACTTGTGGAAGTTCTCGCTTTATTTTTAAACTCTTGAAACAATACTGACAAGTAATACTGGCATGTATGGGACTTTACTCCGTTTACTCACATTTTTGAAGTTATATTGGTATTGTACACGGTCACTGACAAGGAAAAATGTGTTATTAAAATGTATGTGTGCACACTCCAACAAATGAATTTATACATAAAGTCTCTTAAACTAATGCTTTAAGCTGGTTTGATGTTATTTTGTAAAGAAAAAAACATTTGAATGAGGAGTATTTCACTGAAACGTTTGGCAAGCTTTCGCTCGTAACTTTGATTTCAGTATGTGGAAGCACAATTAAAACTACAGCAAAATTAACAACACACAGGCCTACTGCATGACTTGAGAAGACTTGACATATAGCGCACGACCAATATGAACTGCTTTTATAGTGCTTTTTGCCTTTATTTTAGCATCTGTCCCCATTTACCTGCATTATATGGAAAAGAGCAGCATGAACATTCCGCATAACTATCTTAATTTTTCATCCACAGACCATACAGGTTAAAAACGTCAAATGACACCGTTTTTATTTTTGGGGGAACAGTTCCTTTTCTCTACTCTCTGTTTGTTGCCTGCATCAACAAAAGAGATAATAAAACAGCCCTTTCCTGCAGCTGACGTGTGACATAGTACGCCGTAAACGCAAGCGTGACCTGTTTTTGTAGTGTTTTGATGGCCTGTACTAAGAGATCTGTGCAATAACTCAGTTGTTTATCCTACATAGCAATTAGAGTGCATAGAAGAACTGTCTACTGAGTTATGAACGAGCAAACCTCTTGAGCAATAAAACCATTCATAGCTGTCCAAATTTGAGCTACCCTCTTTAACCTTTAACATCCAGGGAACTTTTCCATTCTCTATAGTAAAAAAATCCAAGTCCCTTTCGGAACCTTTATTTTTAAGAGTTTAAACTATGCAAATGAGGTTTAGATTGGAAGGATTTTACATTATACCAAATTTCAGCCAGTTTCCAGCGACTACGTCATTCCCTCATCTGACTGTTTTACCAGCTTCCCTCTTCCAGCCCACCAGAGTCCAAAGATCATCCACTGTTTGCTTTCCGTCTGTCCCTGGACGTGCTATACTGTAAAATCTCTCTGTTTCCTTCAAGCTTACGCAGTTGTCCAATCACTAACCCCCTTCTTAGGCCACAACTGCAGCCGCTGGCTCCACCCAGCCCTGGAAACCTCTTCCTGACGTCAGGCTACACCCTTAATTTTCACCTGTACTCTAAGGAAGGGGCCTCGTTTGCTGTTGCATTATGGGAACTGTAGTGTTCTTTTCCACGCATGTTTATGGGGTGTTGGTTTATTCTGAAACGCTGCTGTTTCTCTAGGGATCCTGGATGGCAGACGTGTGACTCCGGTATGACACCCTCAGCTGGTGACCTTTTCTGATTTTATTAATGTTTAGTGAGCTAAGAAAGGGAGCATGTTAGACTTCTAAAATGTTTCATTTGAAAGTGGAAGTTTTTTCACTCTCAAACTTGAGTTACCTATTGACATTAGCTAGAGGCACTTGCACCTGTGATGAAGTGCTTAGTTAAAAAAAAAAATACTGAACTTGAGCATGTTACTATTAACATATAACATACCTGTTTCAGTATATACAGAGAGAGAGGAGTATAGATTTGTCAAATGTGAAGTTGAACAGGAACATAACTGAAAATTGCTACTGTAAAAACCTGTTAACTAGTTAACCGTGAGTTACCTTACCATGAAATTACATTTATAAATATAATACATGTAATTTCATGGTAAGTTATTATTAGTAATGATTGTTTGCATACAAGTAAATAGTATTTATCGCCTAGTTATTCATGTAGAAGTAGGCATTTCCTGTGTGACCCATCACATTTTTTATTTACATGGTTTTTGTCGTTAGTTATGTGAATGAGTGTTTTATGCTAATTTATGTTATTTTAGTTCATGTATATTGCATTGTTTCATATTTAGCACTATTACATATGTAACACTGTGTTCTTCATAGTATATTTCATGCTTGCTAGAAAGGCCATTTTGAACGTCATGTAGCCTCGTTGTATCATTATGCTGGTTATTATATGTAAAAATATTAAGCAAATCATTTTATCTTAAGTCTGTTGGTATATTAACATATCATAAATGATACAGTCACCGCAAAAGCTTTCATCACTTTTAGTAATGCATGAATCATCGTCACTTTTTATGTTAACGTTCTGCCAACCACAGCTTCAAGTTTTAAAGAAATGTAACAAAATATAATAATAATTGATCACGTGCATTTGAAAAATCCACACCCTTCTGAGATCTTACATTTTAAAGGATGCTATGTTAAATTTGTGTCTTCGAAGTGAATGATTTCACTTGAAATGTTTAGTTTTTTATGCTTCTAGTGATTCCTTTCATGGGCGTTGGCAATGTGTTGACTTTTGAGCGATCCCAGTTGTTTAAGATTGGGTAATGATAATATTAGATTAGATAAAGAGAGTGAGATGAAGGTGGGTGTGAGTGTGAGTGTGGTCTAATGTTCAGGGTTATGAGCAGCTATCTACAACACTTTTCACTAATTCAATCATTTCTAATAGGGAAAATAATTCATTTAGATACAAAATAGCCTTTTTAGATGCTGTTTTTTATGTATTGATTTTCAGTTTTATTTTTTGACATGTAGACATAATCATTTGGCCTCTAACAGCAATTACAATAATTAGTTATCCTTATTTAAGATCGTCTCTGTGTTATATGAACGAAGACTAACGTCTGAAAACGGCTGCCAGGTGAATAATCTGTGAGATCAGGAAGCACGGCTGTGTGTGTACGGAGAAGGCCTACATGCGCCTCCCATAAATACCCTGCGCTG